TGAAATTTTTCGGTTTTGACAGAAGATCACCCACCACCACCCACAAAATCAAGACGACCCGCAAGCGCCGAATCCTAAGTCAACCCTGAACCCCCGGCCCCCAGCCTCGACCTCCCGAAGCCGTAAACCCAAAGGACCCTAAAACCCTAAAAACTAAACCCAAGGGACCCTAAAGACTAAACCCAACGGACCCTAAACACTAAACCCAAAGGACCCTAAACTGTAAAGCCCTAAAAACCCAAAGGACCTTAAACCCTAAAACCCCAAAGGATACGAAACCCTGAAAACCCTAAACCCAACACCATAAACCCTAAAAACCCAAGGGACACAAAAAACCCACATCCTGAAAACCCTGAACCCCGTAAAAAGGCAAGGCCCCGGCAATCTTTGCAGACTTGTTGTTGCACGTGAGGGAAGCAAAGCTACGCTTGGAGCCCAGACAGTTGGAGTGGCGGCTTTTCAGGCTAAAAACTTCTTATAACATATCAGATATGCTGTGTATGTGTCTACATACACACTTCTATCATCTTATGTACAACACTGTATTTTGTTTTTAAATCGAAACATGTAGTATATAGTGAACAATCTGTAGTACTAGTATACAGTCAACAAAACATAGTATATACAATATGCACTATAGGAGCCTTGATAAATAGAAATGGGTTCCTGAGTGTTGCATATCATAAAGTTAGCATGCTTTACCCCAGAACCCGATTCTCATTATTAAGGCTCCTTAGTAACCCTTAGTGAAGGCATGTGTGAGCCTCTATTATACGCACTACAGTACTTCGACTTGGGTGTGCAGGTATATTCCTGGATGGTTAGCATAAGGAGCCCTGACGAGGGTTTAGGGTTCAGGGGTTCAGGGTTAAGGGTTTAGGGGCTTTGGGTTTAGGGTTTAGGGGTTCAGGGTTTAGGGTATAGGTTTAGGGTTTAGGGTGTTTGGGTTTAGGGTTTAGGGGCTTAGGATTTAGGGTTTAGGGGTTTAGGGTTTAGGGGTTTAGGGTTTAGGGGTTTCGGGTTTAGGACTTGCCGTACAGTCGCACATAAGCGGAAATATAATGCGACAGTGTGAATTCGAGTGCATCGTAGTATGACGATTGGCCGCGGCAGCCCGACAGTGGAAGGCTCTATTCCTGTTCTCTCCCACCCCACGCGTTGAGGTGGCCAAAGTGATTTTCATGGACTTCGTCTTCTGTTCGACTGCAACCAAAGTCCTGTCCTAAACCCATGAGTAAACCCCCTAGGGTGAGCAAGCCACAAGTTTCATCCGGCCTCGTAGGGGCCTACATCAAAGTTGGGGATTAGGACATAGGGTTTAGGGGTCAGCGGCCTCGAAAATGTGCGACTTCGGCACTGATACAGCCGTGTGGATGCCGAGCATCCCTACACCCTAACCCGATAGACCCCCAAACCCTAGACCCTAAACCCTGGACCCCAAATCCTTCTCAGGGACGGACGAGAAAGACACATGAAGGTCCTCCTATCCTTTGGCTTGGTTGTATCTAGAAGGGTTTATCGAAGGTTCAAGATCAATGTCCACAGGTACAGGTGGAACACTGTTTGCCCAAGCTATGTTACGACATGATCAAAGCGCGGAGAATGCCAAATTGGCACTTTCGACTCCACATCAGCCGAAGATCGGTCTTCTATATGGGAGTTTCCGAAAAAGAGGGGTACCTTAATTGGGGATCCTTATACTAAGGATCCTACTATTAAGAGTACTATATTAGGGTCCCCTATTTTCGCAAACTCCCATATTGCTCTCACAGAAGAACGAAATGAAAACCCAAAAATGTTGCCGCGACACGAAGCGTTATGAAAAAGCCATAGAAACCCCAGAAGCCCTAAACAAAGCTTTGGCGTGTAGGATTTACGACTACGGGGCGACGGGGTGGTTCTGGATAAAGAGCACTGAAGTATCTGAACCTCCAAGTGGCGTTTGAATGCCATGTATCAGTGACACACGGCGTACCGAGTCCAGACAATGCGGCAAGCCTCCTAAGCGCTCTCGATTCACCGCTACCCTGAAGCCCTGGAACCCCGGCGATCTTCAAAGCTTTTAGACGTTCTCGCGCACCCTCACACCAGCCACCACTTCTGTGTGGCATGCAGGACCCATCGACGCCGCCAGAGACGAAGGCTCTCCGAAAAACCCAAAGCTCTCGAGTCTATCGATACGTGAGGTTCCGCGTTTCCGGCTTAGAGCTCAGGGTTTCCGAAACTTCTCAGAGACCCAAGGAATACCTAGGGTTCCCTTAAAGGGATCTGTAGGGTTCCTTCAAGGGGATTCTATCAAGGATCTGTAGGGTTTAGGAGTTTAGGAGACCCCAATATCCCTTAATTGCGGAATATTCCTGAAAATGTAATGGGATCCCTGGTATGAGTTAAGGTACATTCCTTAAGCAAGGGACATTGGAGTCTCTGGGTTCAAGCGCTTGAACACCGTAACCTGACGAGCGCCAAAGATCTTAGAAGGCCCTCGGGCTTGAAGAATTTCCCAGAGAGCCCAATATCCCTTAATTAAGGAATAGAGCATAAATCTTAGAAGGGGGCCCCACCCTGTAATAGTGGTATAATAGGGATTTAATAGGGCCCTAATAGAATCCTTATAGTCACTATTACAGGGTGGGGGCAGCTTCTAACGTAAATCATAAAAAGAAGCCCCTAATGATTTAAAGTACATTCCTTAATTTAGGGGAATTGGGCTCTCTGGGTCAGGGTTTAGCAAATGCCTTCCTTGGAAAGAAAGGGACTTGACATAAACGGACTGTGTTGCTAGATCAAAGCAGGAAACATACCGCAACCTGTACCACCAGCAACGCTGCGACTCTTCCTCCTCCCTGCTCCTCCTCCTCCTCCTCCTCCTCCTCCTCCTCCTCCTGCTCCTCCTGCTCCTCCTCCTGCTCCTCGCTCTGCTGCTGCTGTTACAACTGCTGCTACAACTACAACTAAAAAACTACTGAAAAACGACGACGACGACTACTATTATCTCCAGCACGACCACCACCAAGTCCCCCTAAATGCTTTTGCAGTAGCTACTGCTATACCCAGCAGACGGCATCTGAGACAGATGTTCTGACAGGAAAATGGCGACAGAAATGAAAACTTCGACGCCTATGCCGATGCCTATGACTGCGTCAAACCCTGTTCAAGACTCATCAACACCACAATGACGATGAACACCACAATGTTGATTGAGAACCCCTGGCATCATTCTCCTGGCCGCTTCGGTGGGCAGTTCCCAGCGAGCCCAAAGGCTCCTATTTAAGGAATATACCTTACATAATAAAGGGCTTCATGTGATTTAAGCTATATTCCTTGAGTAAGGGATATTGGGCTCTCTGGGCTTCCTTCGAGTGCGAGGCTGAAAGGAGAAAAATTTGCTGTCAATACGCACACCGCTCAGCACCGGCATTAGCCGAACGCATAAGAGCACCCAGAGACTCCAATATCCCTTAATTAAGGAATATTCCTTTAATTATCATAGGATCCCTAATATGATTTAAGGAATATTCCTTAATTAAAGGATATTGGAGCCTCTGGGAAGAGCAGGCCATGCAACTCTTCGAAGACTTCGCCTCATGTGCCGAATTCCCAAGCCCTATGTCCCTAAACCCGAAACGCCTAAACCCTAAACCCCTGACGCCCAAACCCTAAACCCCATATCTTCGCGATCCTGAACTGCATCCTAAACCTAATCTGAGGCCCGAAAAGTAAACGTGAAACCCAAAGCCCCAAGGCCCGTTACATGCACTGACAAAACCCTGGTCGAACTCATACCAAAGCCCATTAACCCTGAACTCAATCAACGAAAATTCAACCCCTACTAGAAACCATGCAAACCCGTTAAGCTCCCAAAAAAAACCTTGGAGACACTCCTGGTCCTACTCCTACGCTAGACCCTAAACGCCAAGCTTGCATAAGAGAAGAACTCTGAAACCCAGACTAACGCCCTTTCATTAGAACAGAGAAACCCTTTAGTCTCCGCGGGCCATTAGGGTGGTTGTCAATATCAGGGCCCCTTTTTGGGTCCTTATCATAATACGGCACATAATATTTAGCATACCCAAAAAGGGACCCCGGTTTTGACAACTACCCATTATAAGGCTTCTAGACTAGAGACCCCAAACCCTGAACCCTAAACCCCGTAAACCCTAAACCTCAAAATACCCATTCTAGAAGCCCTCATAGCAACTCTTGCAGATCCCTTTTAAAGGACCCGCCAACAGATCCCAACCCCTGAAGCCATAATCCTCCGAACCGAAGCCCCCAAACCCAAATCCCAGTCTCTCATGGCTCTTAAGGCTCCAATATCCCCTATAGACAATATACCTTAAGTTTGGGTACTGCCCCCATGCAGTAACCGTCTATAATAGGGCTACTATTCAGGTCCGAATATATCTATATTATGAATATTCTCCAACTGGTACTGAGTGCTCGCAGTACCCAACCTTAAGTCATATGCAAGATCCTACTATGATTTAAGGAATGTTCCTTAGACAAGGGATAGGGAGTCTTTCATGGCTCAACCCTAAAAATCCCCTTGAAGGACCCCTTAAAGAATCCCTTAAAGGAGCGCTATAGTCCCCTTGAAGGACCCCTCAAAGGATCCCTTAAAGGAGCGCTATAGTCCCCTTGAAGGATCCCTTAAAGGATCCTTGAAAGGATCCCTTAAGGGAACCCTATAGTCCCCTTAAAGGATCTTAAAAGATCCCTCCTCGGAGCCCGTAAATGGTCTCTCATGGCTTTTGCCCAGAGACTCCAGTATCCCTTAACCAAGGAATATACCTTAAAAACCATATGAAGGATCCTACTATAATTTAAGGAATATTCCTTAATCATCCGTGCTATAATGTAAGGAATATTCCTTCATTATCCTTACTATGATTTTAGGAATATTCCTTTATTTAAGCGAAATCCTTTTTTTCTGGGCTCAAGGAACCCTCTAACTAGTCCCCTTATTATAGGACCCCTTTAATCGAAGCCCCTAGCGTCTCTCAGGGCTCTTGGGGCGTCCGTCGCGGGCGGCTCTTTCGGATCTCTCGGATCTGGCCCAGGCGCGCGAGGCTTCGCGACCGGCTCCCTGCGGAGAGGCGGCTCAGTTTAAGGGCTCCTTTGAGGGTTCCTTTAAGGGTTCCTCTAAGAGCTACTACGAGGGCACTATAGGGGTTTAGGGTTTAGTTCTTTTTCAGGGTTTAGGGGCTTCTTTAAGGTAAGGGTTCCTTTAAGGATTCCCTGCCTTTAAGGGTTCCTGAAAGGGTTCCTTCAAGGGTTCCTATAAGGGCTACTATAAGGGTACTATAGGGGTTTAGGGTTTAGTTCTTTTTGGGGCTTAAGGGTCCCTTTAAGGGTTCCTTTAAGGCATCCATGAGGTACTCAATGAGGGTGCTACAGGGGTTTAGGCTGCACCTGTGGCCAAAAGACCTGCCTTTTTATGGAACTGTACAGAGAAACCATAACAAGGAAACCTACAAGAGTAGGTCTTTTCGGCTACCGGTAGGGTTCAGGGTTTAGGGGCGGAGAGACAGGCTGGTAGAGTTTAGGGTTTAGGGCTTGCGGGGTTTTGGGCTCTTGGGGGTAAGGGTTTTAGGGTTTAGGGTTTAGTGGCGGAGAGACAGGCTGGCAGTTTGGGGTTTTGGGGGCTAGGGTTTTAGGGTTTTGGGATTTGGAATTTACGGCTTTGGGGTTTTTGGGGTTCCGGAGGATACTCTAAAAAGGTTCAACGGGAAGCGCCCTATACCTCAACGAGAAGGGTTCTATGACAAGGGTTCGAAAGAAGGCATCGCCAAGCACAGCTCCCGTGGCCACGGCAACGGTCCCTTCTTCAGAACAAAAGATAGTGAAGTCATATCAGTAAACCACTCAGCCATAGTTTGATACATGAGTCGGGCGCACATGCTAGGCACAACCCCATCGATGCGACGATGGTCGTAAGACGTTGGCGCTTTGGATCATTTCAGTACTGAGGAACTTCTCAGGCAATCAAACATCCGTGAGTTGAATGGCCCTGCGAAACCCCAAATCCTAATCCCCTAAACCCCTAAACCCCTAAACCCCTAAACCCTAAACCCTACACCCGCTAAATCCTGAACCCCTAAGCCTAAGCCCCAAAACCCTGAACCCTGAACCCTAAATCCCTCAACCCCTACTTGGAGGTTCATGGGTATTTATAGGTAGGGTTATAAGTAGGGTATCTATACTTATGACCCATATTCGGGAACTTATAACCTCATTTATCAACAAAACAAAAATAGAATATGCACCCATGAACCTCCAAGTCAACCCACTAAGCCTAAACCCTAAACCCTAAAAAGCCCTAAACCCTAAACCCTAAAAAGCCCTAAACAAGCCCTCCGGTACCTTCCACGAAGTCGGCGAGGCGAAGCCACAGCTTTCCGCCGTGGATGCCGTAGACGGCACTCTTGTGAGTAAAGATCCTGAAAGGTCCAGGGTTTAGGGTTTGGGGGTTTAGGGGTTTAGGGTTTAGGGTTTAGGGTTTAGGTGTTTAGGGGTTTAGGGGTTTAGGGTCTAGGGGTTTAGGTGTTTAGGGTTTAGGGTTTAGGGCTTTAGGTGTTTAGGGGTTTAGGTGTTTAGGGGTTTAGGGTTTAGGGTTTAGGGGTTTAGGTGTTTAGGGGTTTAGGGTTTAGGGCTTAGGGGTTTAGGTGTTTAGGGTTTAGGGCTTTAGGTGCTTAGGGGGTTAGGGTTTAGGATTTAGGGGTTTAGGTGTTTAGGGGTTTAGGGTTTAGGGTTTGGGGGTTTAGGGTTTAGGATTTAGGGGTTTAGGTGTTTAGGGGTTTAGGGTTTAGGGTTTGGGGGTTTAAGGTTTAGGGGTTTATGTGTTTGGGGTTTAGGTGTTTAGGGGTTTAGGGGTTTAGGGTCTAGGGGTTTAGGTGTTTAGGGTTTAGGGTTTAGGGCTTTAGGTGTTTAGGGGTTTAGGGTTTAGGATTTAGGGGTTTAGGTGTTTAGGGGTTTAGGGTTTAGGGTTTAGGGGTTTAGGTGTTTAGGGGTTTAGGGTTTAGGGCTTAGGGGTTTAGGTGTTTAGGGTTTAGGGTGTAGGGGTTTAGGTGTTTAGGGTTTAGGGCGTTGGGCTTATAGGGTTTAGTTTAGGGTTTAGGGCGGATGTCGTAAGTCGTAAGTGCTGCTACAGGGTTTTGTCCCGGAATTTGGTCTTCTACGCCGTTAGCACCGTTTTAGAGAGGTTCACAAATTAAACGACAAAGCATGTCATGATAAGGGAAATTTACAAAGACCCAGCCTGGGTTTGATGGCCAAAATGCACAAGTCCATGCCACATCCGGCATACCATAAGGGACTTAATCATATCTTCATTGGGCTTGGTGTATATCAGGAACCCTGCGGAACAGTATTGGTGATCGTTCAAGCTTCTATAGTATGCGCATCTGACACAAAGAGGCTGAAAAAAACACAGCCGCGTCCCAACAGAAACCACACCCAGCCAAACCAACGTCGAAACCAAGAGTGAATCCATGAAAAATCCGTGCCAACAGAAACACTCGACATGAATCACTCCCGCGAACGGCAGGCCGCGGCCCTCCAAGCCATCCATAGGTCCCTTACAGAAACCCTCTAGATCCCTTCTTGATTCTTGATTCCTTATAGACCCCTTATGAATCCCTTCTACATCCCGTCTAGATCCCCGAAGGAGAACCCTCATAAGCCCCTTTAAAAAATTACAAAACCATACAAAACGCTCGTAGATCCCTCATAGATCCCTAAACCGCTCTTATGATGCCCGGCGTCTCCACCACGTGTGCCACACTGTATTTCGATGAGGAGCTCCGTTCCAAGATCCGACACCTACTTGAAGGCTCATGGGACTTAGTAAGTAGGGTTATAAGTAGGTTGTAATTAGGATAACCCGCTTAGGGGACTTATAACCCCAATTATAACCAACTTACTAATTCCCAGGATCCTCTAAGAAGTGAACTGCTGTAGGGGTTTTGTTTTTTTCAAGATGCAGTGGCACTTTCTGCGAAGGTCCCGCGCCCGTCTCCTTCGAGACATACATCGTACTAAGGCAACTGACAGACGGAGTTTGTGTTTAGGGTCTAGGGTTAAGGGTGTAGGGTTTAAGTGTTTTAGCCGAATAACAACCTTACTTACAAAGCCCCCTGGACCTTTAAGTAGGGACTCTACTTGAGATGATAGCTTCTGGCCGCGTGCGAACAAAACTTCGGATTTGCCTCCAGCGCATCTATCTCCAGACCTTAACCTCATTACTTATGGGGCTCCCTAAACCCTAAGCCCTACGTCCTAAAGCCAAGGCGGGAAACCCGCAAAACACAAATTTCAAGCGGGGTGTAAGGGTTAACAGGGCCTTGAGGTAACCACGGAGAAACAAGCATAAACCTTTATTTCATAGTGGTTCCTTTAAGGAACAGATGCAAGACAAGCAATAAAGCATGGTACTGCAAAACCCAGTTAATGATTTTTTGAAACAAGACACGTCATAGAACCTTTACACGACGATCGTTAAATGCTTAAACTCCATGGCCGAAAACGTAAACCCTGAACCCCGGAGTCTAAACCCCGAAGCCCTAAAACGGAACCCCTATAGATCCATTAAAGGAACCCCAATACATCCTTTTAAAGGATTAGAAACCGGCTCGCAAGTCAGCGGAGCGCCTCAGCGCCGACAACTGCTCCGTCTGCAGAGCCTCACCAGCCTTGAGGGGTTTAGGGGTTGAGGGTTTACGGGTTTAGGGCTTTAGGGGTTTAGGGGTTTAGGGTTTGAGGGGTTTAGGGGTGTAGGGGTTTAGGGTTTAGGGGTTGAGGGGTTTAGGGGTTTAGGGGTTTAGGGGTTGAGGGGTGTAGGGGTTTAGGGGTTTAGGGCTTTAGGGGTGTAGGGGTTTAGGGGTGTAGGGGTTTAGGGGTTTAGGGTTTAGGGGGTAGGGGTTTGGGATTGAAGCCGAAATGGTTGGGGATACTTAGAGTTTCATGGCCAGTCATAAGTGGGTTATAGGAAGGGGGCCTTGAAGCTTTCTGTAGGGTTTAGGGTTATAAGTTATAATAGTCGGGTTGCAATGCTTCAAATGGGTTATTAATGCAGTTGCCCTATTTTTGCACCCACTTATCACTACCCATGACCCTCCAATTAGGGTTTGGGATTCCGGCATAGGATTTCGGTGTAGGGCTCCGTTAAAGGGCTTAGGGCTTTCGATGTAGGGTTGTAAGGTTTAGGGTTTAGGATCTTCGTTGGTAGGTTTAGGAAAGAAAGTTGGCAGTACTAGTTGGCGGGCTCCATCATGCACGTTGGTGCCGCTCAAGTCTTCTTGATGGACCCGCAATTTTGGCGGTTGCCAGTGCATCCAAAACCAGTGCATGCTTAGAACTCTCGCTGCGACATCCATCCGTCTGCATCTGTGACAAAAGCATCCTTGCTCGCAACCCTACACCCTCACCCTAAACCGCGTCCTTGGAAGAGCCTCCGCACTGCTAGTAGGGTAACATCAGCGTCTGCATTGCATCCGTGCCCAGAGCATCCTTGCTGCCATAACGCCAACATGCTCCTTCCCAGCGCAGCCTTTGAAGAAGCAATCGCGCTGCCGCTCTGAGTAGTAAAATCGGTGTTGCCAGTGCAGCCGGGAAAGTTTTATTCCCTGCATAACACGTTTTTGTCTACATTCCACAGATCCTATAGCGGAGCAACAGGCCCTGAGAGCTTTAGCTCGCAAAATCACAAAGGTGGAGCATGCAACAATCCCGACCTGCTGCGCATACGGCTGACCACAAGACCAGGAAAAAAGCATTCCGAATCGATCCCATGCAACAGCCTTTGGTCGCGGCTCTGACGTGCCATGGCCATCATCGTCGTCGGCATCGTTGCAGACGTAGTAGAAGCAGTAGCATCAGCAGCAGTAGCAGCAAGAGTAGGACGAGGAGCAGTAGTATCGGTAGTAGGAGCACTAGTATTTGTTGTCGCTGTTGCAGTTGCAGTTATACTTGCAGTTGTGGTTGTAGTTGTAGTGCTAGTCTTAGTGTTAGTATATATAGAGTTGGTGTTCGTGCTCGTGTTCGTGTGAGGGCTTGCGTTGGTGTTCGCGTTTGCAATAGTATTAGTGTTAGCGTTACTGTTAGCGTTGTTCGCGTTAGCAACAGCGTTAGCGCTGGCGCTCGCGTCGGCGTTAGCGTCGGCGGTAGCATCAGCCTTGGCGTCAGCGTTGGCGTCAGCGTTTCCCTTAGCGTTAGCCTTCGCCTCAGCCGGTGGTGGCGGTGGTGGTGGTAGTAGTAGTAGTAGTAGTAGCAGCAGTAGTAGTAGTAGTAGCAGCAGCAGTAGTAGTAGTAGTAGTAGTGGTGGTAATAGTAGTAGTACTAGTACTAGTACTAGTACTAGCAGCAGAACGCAGCAAGAAGAGGAGGAGTAGAGGCAGTAGCAGATTTAGTAGTGGTCGGTAGTCGTAGCAGCAGCAACAGCAGTACAGCACTCGCAGCAACAGGGATGGCAGCAGCAAGGGAAGCAGCTGTGGCAGCGAAGGCGGCAGTAGCTTTGGTAACTTTTGCAGCATCTTTGCAGCTGCCTCAACTAGCAGGATGAAATCCCTACAAGTCAAGTAGCATTAGGGTTGAGGGTTTTTTTAGGGATTCATTCAGGGCTTAAGGTTTAGGATCCCAACAGAAACTTGACAGCCGAAAGGAACTTTGCTGCCACCCAACACCCCCCAAACCTCCTCCAAATTTCCTAAACTCAACACCTCAGAACCCCAAAACGACAGAACTAAACCCTAACCACCAAACCCAAAACAGATTCACCTAGACCCGCAACATGAACCCAAAACCTAAAAAAGCCAAGCCCGACAATCCTCGAACCGATGTATCCAAACCGACAAATCCTACCCTTCACCCTAAATCCTAAACCCGCAAATCTTTACCCGACTTCTGCGCCTCTTCCTGGCGATCCGCATACTGCAAGAGCTTCGCCTGGATGGTAGCCTGCGAGAGAGATCATATCCAGAGAGCTCAATACCCTTTCATGAAGTAATATACAGTTAAAGTATCCCTTGGGGCCTCATACTAAGGTTTAAACTACATGTGTACATATATATATATATATGTATGTATTCACCAATCATGGGGTATTGGACTCTCCCCACAACCTTCAGATCCCAAAGTCAAAGATGGAATAGCCATGCTGCACCAAAACAACTATCCTTCTACTTCCTTACACCCTAAACCCTAAGCCGTAAGACCTAAAGCATAAACACTCAGGGATTGGGTGAAGGGCACATGCAAGCAAATTAAAGTCCGGCACCCGAAACATCCAAGAATGAGTCTAACGAGGGGCCTCAAGACTCCCTGTGTGCTGTAAATACGTCAGGGAAACCGAAAGGAATAACAAGCGTGTTAAAAGATCCTTCCCGCTCTCTCTCTCTCTCCCTCTCCCTCCCCCTCTCCCTCTCCCTCTCCCTCTCCCTCTCCCTCTCCCTCTCCCTCTCCCTCTCCCTCTCCCTCTCCCTCTCCCTCTCCCTCTCTCCCTCTCCCTCTCCCTCTCCTCTCTCCTCTCCCTCCCTCTCCTCCCTCTCCCTCTCCCTCTCCCTCCCTCTCTCTCCCTCTCTCCTCTCTCTCTCTCTCTCTCTCTCTCTCTCTCTCTCTCTCTCTCTCTCTCTCTCTCTCTCTCTCTCTCTCTCTCTCTCTCTCTCTCTCTTTCTCTCTGTTGTAGACGCTGTTCATTCCACATTATTCTTACATCCCGAACATCCAAGCCGCCCAGTCTGTGGGCAACACCATGGACCGCAGGCTCGTCGGGGGCAACGGCTCACCACGTGCTGGCCGCGCGATCCGCAGGTTCACCTGTCGCACCTCACATCCGGCCGTTGGATGAGGAGTGCTAACCAAGGCAAGCTTGAAGAAAACCCCCTATTATAATCCTTATCACGAAAATCCCAAAACCCTGCAATAATCCTTGCCATGACAACCCCCAAAAAAACCCAGAATGATCCTTATCAGTCTTATCATGAAAACCCTAGTTCAACCCTCATGAAACCCCTATCATAAAGCCGTGACAAGCCTTATCAAGCCTGGAGCCTCGCTTCAGGACGTATCCCACGCCAACTTGGAGGGGCAGCGGACTTAGTAAGTAGGTTATAAGTAGGATAATTGGGGTAACTCCATCTTGGGCACTTATAACTCTACTTATAACCTACTTACTAAGTCCCCTGCCCTTCCAAGAAGCGTCAACCCCAGACGAAACCCGGAAATCCAATTGAGCAACTGGCAGGGAGTTTAGGGGTTTAGGGTTAGAAGCTGCCCCCACCCTGTAATAGTGACCATAAGGACTATATAGGATTATATCAGGGCCCTATTATATTCCTATTCTACCACTGTTACAGGGTGGGGGCAGCTTCTAAGTTTAGGGCGTTTAGGGATAGGGTTAATGATGATGATAACTTTCATCATATAGACCCCTGACGAGCGCACCTGCCTTCTCTACAGGCCCCGATGTTATACTCGGCGTGAAGGGAAAGGGCTGATTAACCAGGGTTCTACACTAGCACTGATGAGAATAGCAAATTTCCTATGTGACAGCAAAAAAGTAACAAGAACAAGACGAAAGCACAGCGCTAAAAACCATAACCATAAAAGAATGAATACAATTGCCAATACATCTCCTAGTAGCAGTTGTTGCTGTTGCCTTCGTAGTAGCATTCGTAGCAGTAGTAGCAGCAGTAGGAGCAACACCAATAATAATGCTAATACCAATACGCCACCAGGAATGGCCATCGTGCTTCACATCCTCAAACTTACCTTTGGTTAGTAGGGAATGGAGGAATGGGGTACAATTATAAAAACTATTACTACCATTCTTCCATTCCCTACTAACCAAAGGTTAGCAAAGATACTCCGAGGCGCCCTAGGGCAGCACGAGGGCGAAGATGGGACGTTGGCGGGGCAAAGCCCCGAACACCAGGGCGATTCAGGCTTACCTACTTGTCGGGTATCATGGGGAACTAAAGGTTAACCTGCTTGGTTATATAGGGGTTATATAGGGGCTATACTACCCAAAACAGGTTGAAGGTTTCCTACTCGACTACTAGGCTTATGGTTCAGGGCTTAGGGTTCAGGGTATAAGGGTTTGGGGTTTGGGGTTATTTGTTTGAGGTATAGCGTTTAGGGTTGAGGGTTTGAAAAAATTCAGGCTTAAGGTTTGAGGGCTTAGGGTTTACAGTTCAGGGTTTGGGGCTCCCCATTTAGGTGCAACGAGGTTCAAGGTTTAGGGTTTATGGTTTGGGTTTCAAGGTTTAGGGTTCGGGGTTTGGGTTTCTTGGTTTGGGGCTTAGGATTCAGTGCTTAGGGTGTATTTTTGAGGGTTTAGGATTAAGGTTCAGGGCTTAGGGTGAAGGTTTGGGGTCTAGGGTTCACAAATAAAACTGTTCTTTTACGTGCAATGGGTTTGGGGTTTAGGAGTGCCCCTGCAACCCTGGACCGTATATCGCAAATTAGAGTCCCAGGCACGTCGCACGCCTCTGTAGAGGTGTCCTGGGCAAGGCAAAACACAGAATCCTAAATCTAAAGCAAAGACCAGAACCCAAATTCTAAACCCCACACCCAGAACTTGTCTCCCTAAACCCTAAACCCTAAACCGTTCAGGAACCGTATGCAGCCGCATTGCTTACGAACTTGGGAAAACGACACACCGAAGCCCGAAGCGGTGTCACAGCTACTCCACAAACCGTTTCAGCAGACTCCTTTCACGGTTTAGGGTTTAGGGTTTCCTTTCACCAAAAACCGTCTCAACGATTTTGGAAGTCAGGTACCAAAACTGGCTGGAGGGCTCACGGATTGGAGTTTGGATGAAACGCCAAAGCCATGAGATCTAGTCTAGACGCCAAGAGACGGCCTGACTGACAACTACAATAAGCCTATACATAACAACACTCATGGCAATAGCAGCACTAGCCGTGGGATTAAATCGAAACGGTTGTGGATGATGAAAAACGTGATGCATTAATTACGAAAGAAAACGCAGCATTGCAGGTTAGCAGCACATGCATCGGCCCTGAAATCCACGTTGTTGGACCCCACAACCCTTTCCAGTGTCCGAAATTCCGACCAGGAAACACCAATTCATCTAAAATCCGCTCTAAGCATGCAAACCCTGAACCCTAAACCCTTAAACCCCAACGCTGAACCCTAAGCCCTAACTCTGAACCAACCCGAACCCTGAACCCCTGAGTAGTTTACGGTTTTGGGGGTCTGCCGAAAAGAAAATCGGCAAAGCTCCTTCAGAACATCGCGGAAGTATGAACCACGCATATGTCTTCCAAATCTCTAAGGACCCATCGGCCCGAAAGAAAGCCCGGTGTTGCAAGACCACTTAGGGTTGTTGAGGGTCTACGTCGGGGTTAGGGATTTAGGCGCTTTGGAGTACAGGCAAGGTTTAGGGTGTAGAACTTAGGATTTAGGGGTTTCGGGTTGTTTGGGGTTGCTTAGGGATTCAAAGTCCCATAAATCGAGTAGTCTCAGCGGCCACGAGCAGGTTTACCTCAACCACGGACGGCAGCAGGCCTCGCGATCTAAGCTTTGGGGGTGCTACAGCCGCAAGCCCTGAATGCTGTGTTTGAACGCACAACCCTAACGCGCCAGACAGCTGGGAGCCCGATTCGGGGGTTGCTGGCGTATTTCAATTTCTTTTCACTCAGAGACCACAACACCCCTTATCTCAGGAATGTACGTTGAACGACATGAGGGTTCGCATATTTTCAGAGAATATTCCTTCGTTCGGGAATTGAGCAAGAACTTTGTCTTTCGTAGGCTTTGGGCTAAAGGGCGTAGGCGTTAGGGCCCTAAAGCCATTAGCCTAAAGCCCTACGAAAATACCTTCGAAACCACAGTTCCCAAAGACTCCAAAACCCGTGCACGAAGGAACATTCGGAGCCCGTACGTCATTCAAGGTGTGTTGCTTAATTACGGGGTGCTGTCGTCTTTGGGTCAAAAGAAACACGCTTGCAACCCCATATAAATCCACAACCACCCACAAAACCTCTTTGAGATCCGGAAAAAGCCCTATTTCACAAAATGAAATCATACTGCAAACAGCACCTAAAACACGCATATAAATGGGTTTAGGGTTTAGGGCCTACGAAGTAAAAAGGCTGCAAAGCTCTTCGCACGTCGGGCCTGGCAGCCCTGAGGCCACGGAAGTCGCAGAGTCTTCGCTTGCAGGCCGAGGTCGGTTGGCATGCACCTCTGCTTGGAAGTTATGGGGTTTACGGTGTAGGGTTTAGGGTGTAGGGTTTAGGGTAATTACGGTTTAGGGTCGTTAAGGTTTAGGGGTAGTTATAAATGGGCTTATGGGTATGGTTCGTTTAAAGGCTCCATGGGGTTGAGGGCCATAAGCTATAAGCAGTGCGAGGAGTCCCTTCATGTGGGTTATGAAGAGCTAGGGTTTAGGGTTTAGGGTTACCTTGCATTTGGCCCCACTTAAAACTTCCAATGAACGTCCAGGTCAGGCGTCTAAGGCTTCTACTTGGAGGTTCATGGGTAGTTATAAGTGGGGCTACAAGTAGGCAAACTATACTTATATAACCCATATTAGGGGACGTATAACCCCACTTATAACTACCCATGAACCTCCAAGCAGACGGGGTTTTGGGTCCACGGGTTGAAGGCTGAGGGGGATTTAGGGTTGAAGGTTGTAAGAGGGCTCTACGGGGCCGCGACGGATTGAGGGCTCTACAACGGGTTCTGAAAGACTTCTGGGCCTTCTAGGCGCCCTTCAAGCATTGAAGGGTTCTATGAAAGGCCCAGAAAGATTGAGGGTTTAGGGTTCAATCAAAATTCGGAAAGAGGCTGATAAAGAGTTCTAAGAGTCTACAGAACTGCTCCACACCAAGGACCCTTTAAAGGGTTCTTACAAGGGGTGTAAGCTTTCTAGTCAAGTTCAAGAAGGGGTTCTGAAGGAGGCTCTTAGTGGTGTTGTATGAAGCTTTTGACAAGAGTTCCGTGGGGGTTCCATGTGGGAGTTTCCGAGAATTAGGGGTACCTTCTTTTGGGGTCCTAATAATAAGGATCCTGTTATTTAAGGTACTATGTTAGGGTCCCCTATGTTCGGAAACTCCCATGTGGATTCTAGAGTTCTACAAGGCTCGTAAGGCTTCGACAAATTCTTCGGTTGATGATATAAATCCTGCATCACCCATTAGAAGGAATATACCATGATTCCCATAGATTAGGGTCCTTAAGGTAATGCAGGATTTCTATCATCAACCCTAAACCCTAAACCCCTACAGATCCCTTAAAGGAACCCCTTAAAGGTACCCTTAGAGATTCCTGTAAAGGAACCCCAGGATTTATAACATCAGCCGTTCGGAAGGGATCTATGCAGGTTTGGGGCTTTGCGAGGATCGCGACCCAGGGACCGCAACACAGGACTTCGAGACCGAGATTACTTTAAAAGGGTTGAGGGTTTAGGGTTTAGGATTTAAGGGTTTAAGGGTTTAGGGTTTCGGGGTTTAAGGGTTTAGGGTTTTAACATTTGGGGAATAGTGCGGCTTGGCTAGGAGGCTGGTGACTTGAGTGTTTAGAGTTTAGGGCTGGAGGTGCTTAAAGGTGTTTTTAGTTTGGGGTTTAGGATTTAGGAGACGAACACGGGATTGAGGCGGAGCACGGTTTTCACCCAAAAGCAGATTGCCGGACGGTACTGTGAAGGGAAAGGAACTGCGATTCATCAGACCTGGAAGCGCAAATTCCATGAGATTTAACATTTCTGTCGAAACACGTTTCTGCAACCCGGTATAGCACATCTACAAAATTTATAGAAATCAGACCAGCCCCTAAAGAAGATCCCCATGGGAATCGTTCAACGCGTCAACCCTGCTAGAACCTGTTGAACACCCTAAACCCTAAACCCCACCCTTCTGAACCCGCCAAAGCACCGACTGCTTGATCTGCAGCAGCTGGCCGACGCACTCGGAATCTGCCACGCGCGCTTCCACCTCCTCCTCTCGGGCTCCTTCTTGGGGTATAGGGTTTCAGCGCTTAAGGTTGAAGGTCTGAACCTGAACCCTAAACCCTAAACTTTAGGATTTGAGGGTCTTGGATTTAGGGGGTTAAGACGCTTAAGATTTAGGAAACTTAGGTATAAGGTTTAGGGTTTGAGATTCTGTTTGGAGACCACTTGCCTGAGCGGAAGCAGATGAGCCTGTTTTCGCAGGGCTGTGTTTCTTAACCCTTCCCCAGCCGCTCAGTGCCTGGCCCACGAATGCCCACATCCTTATCCTTTGTCCTCAAAGCCAGGGATAAGTATCCTAACCCTCAATCTTAAAACCCAAACCCCTAAACCCTCAATCCAAATCCCGAAACCCCAGACCCTAAACCCTAAACCCCTAAACCCTAATTTTACATGAGGATTGAATACGCAAGTGAGGCCGTGTACTCACCCAGAAACAACATGGAAGCACTTCCTTTCTCCATCATACTCTTCTTGCATGCCTTGATGACTTCTGCCCGCAGATCCACAGTAGTGCCATTTTCAGGATGCATAGTTGTCAAGACATCAACTTCTTCTGCACTGCAAAGTCGCTGTAGATGGACTGGATGTGAGGCAAGTGGCTCATATGCCATGAAACCATCTCGACTCCTGCTGGGCAACATCTGGTAGTTGCAGGGCAAATTGCCCAAGCTGTGATGACAACTGAACGGGCAGAATATGATGCTCTCTCCATACTGTGCTGCCAGACGTCTGAACGATCGGAGCTTCCACTCAGGATTGCTCATGCCCTGTGGCTGATTCAATTGATCAACGGGCTGCTCTTCTCCCAATGTATTAATATGTGGGCTGCCAAAGATAATGACAGCGGGTATGCGGCCGTGACAGTGCTCAGAAATCATCCCTGGATCAGTGGCATCAACACCGTTTTTCACATGCAAAGTGCGTTGATTGTAGCTTTGCTGGAGCCTGCCTGTAAGTAGCCTCTGCAGCTCTCCTGCTTCACCTTGCGTAGGAAATTGGAAATCCGTCGCATAGATGTGAACATCTTGCATAGACTGCAAAGGCTCGGAGAAGGGCGTCTTGACAATCACAGAAGGATTATAGTAGAAAATGGCCTTGGGCTGTTGCTCTTTTTCAAAACAAAGATCACACTGCCAATCTGGCATTTTTTTCGTCTTGCCCCCCACAGTCCATTTTGGATTCTGTCGCTGATAACTCAGAAATTCAGGTAAAAGGAGGCGACTCACAGATTTCTTGCAGCTTGAGCATTGTTCGTGGTCAGGAGGGTACTGGACACTTTCCGCATGCCGCATAATGTTCGCCACATTATGGCGACGTCAGCATTGGACAGAATAGAAGCATCCATCGCTCACCTCGTGACAAGGCACAAAGTTAGAGCGCACCACAGGCAACTCCAACATCTGAGACGAGGGCCAGCCAGAATCTCCCAGTAGCTGACAGCCTCGGTTGGACCATCCGCCACTGCTACACAGGCAGAGACAAACCGGGAAGCGAACCGATTGCCAAAGGCCAAACAAACGGCCAACAGATCCGAAAGCACTTGAATAGACTTGAGAGCTCTGAGCATCACAAGCCCCAAGGGCAACAGACTGCGGTCTGACGCCGAGGGCTGTGCCGAGCAGGACCACGCCAGGAGCGGCAAGGACCTAAGCGAACAGAAACTTGAGTTTGCAATCCGTGCAACCGCGCGCCACAGGCGACGGCTACAGGCCGAGGGCCAGGCTCGGGAGGAAAGAAAGTGGCCCACCAAGTTCGCAAAACCCCACGGTCGTGAGATCACAAAGGCTGCAGACAAAGGCGTCACGAAGCAACCAGAACGCTCCAAGAACCTGGCCGTCAGGCGAGAAGACAATCTGAAGAGCATGCTCAGCCTGCAAGGCGAACGGGAGCAGGCAACCATCAAAATGCAAGCCCACACATCAGCTGGAAACTTTCATTTTGCCGCAAAAGTTAAGTCCAGAGGACCGGAGTGACATGCACGTAAATATCGCTCTAGAGCTGTGTTACTGGGAGGCTGTGCCTCCTGCTTCTCGTGATTCGGAATGGGCCGTCGAACAGGGACGTGTTGACCTGGGCGCCGCACCACGACAACATGATTGCTTCTGCAGCAACACCGAGCTCAAGGCAAACACTCATTTTTTTCTGCGCATCGCAATGCGTGAACCTCACCCCTCGTGCGTACACTTGCTGACAGCGACCAGAGGCATAGCATCTTCTGGTTCTTACAGCAGCGCTGAGTATGATAGACTGGCCACATATTCGCCTGGAAAAACGATCAGTCCTTCGGATGGACGCTTTTGCAGCGCACGACGAAGATCGAGCGGCTCGTCCGCTTTGCTGGTACAGAAGTCTTCAACCAACACTTCGACTTCGTCACTCCGACACCTAAACCCTAAAGGGTTCAGTTTGGGGTCTAGGGCTCCGCGGCACCTGCATGTACAAGGGCGGTTGAGCGCTTGGGGTTGGTGCTCTACCTCATTACTTCTGAGGGCTCCCTAAACCCTAGGTCCCAAGCCCTAAGTCACTATAAATGTTAAGAGTTAAGGCGCTTATTTTAAGTGAGGGTTCGGGGTAGGAACCATTCTGAACACGGACCCTTGGGTTTAGTGCTTACTGTAAGTGTTTAGAGGTTTAAGTGTCTAGGGCTGCTCTTTTCCGTCGGAACGGGTGTCTAGGGTTCAGGCTGTCTCATTAAGGACCTTAACTTAAGTTGCCATAGTAGGAGTCGCTTTGAACTGTATTGTTATTACTAGGTTGGCCCTTTAAAGCCTCTGAAAAATATTCGTAAACATCTTCCTATTAAGCCCAATAAGGGAAAATACAAAATGTCCCACAGACCTACCTAGATTAGGGTTCTCTTGTGATGGCAGCATAGCTTAAGCTCCTTCCCCGAGCCCTTGTCTGAGGAAGGAACCATTCTGAACACGGACCCTCCAGATCCCCTACAGGGAACTCCAGAAAGTTGGAACATGGTTTCATGGTAGGATACCCTATAATTACCATAGAAGGGTTAGGATAGTCATATTCCAACTTTCTGGCTTCTACCTTAAAACAACTCTTCAAAGGCCCTTACCCTGAGGGCCCATGTACCCAAATAGTACATATAGGGAGTACTTTAAGGCCAATGTATATACTATTTGGGTACATGGACCCTTAGTGTTATGCAACTATCGTACCCCCGGAGAGACCCCGGAAAGGAACTTAGTTGGAGGGTCGGGAAAGTCCCCCAACCTTCCGGCTTGGGCTTCCTCAACCCTTAACCGCAAGCCCTAAAACCCTAAAACCCTAAGCTCTAAACGCAAAAAAAAACCTAAACCCTAAAACCTTAAACCCTAAAACCCTAAGACCTTAAACCCTGAAACCCTAACACCCTAAACCATAAAACCCTAACCCCTAAAACCCTAAAACCCTCAGCCCTGAGACCTAAATCCTCCATCCGCAACCCTCAACCTCAGACCTGAAACCCAAAAGTCCTGAACCCTAAACCCCTCTTTAACACGGCCTCTCCTGAATCCTCTTTTAAGGCCAAGAGATGGTAGGACTCCTGAGACCTTACTGACTGGAGGCCAAAAGGGGGTTTAAGATTCTTGGGGTAGGGATTCCTTAATATGAACCCTACTACTGGAACCCTAGTCCCTACTAAACCCCCATAGGCTAAAACCCTTTTTGGCCTCCTATGACTTACGGCTTAGGGCTTAGAGCTTAGTTTACGGCTTAGGGTCAGAAGCTTCAGGTATAGGGTTTTGGGTTCAGGGGTTAGATTTATGGTCTACGGGGTTTAGGGGTTGAGGGCTTTGGGTTTTAATCTTTAGGGTCTACGGTCTAACGGCTTAAGTCATGGTTTAGGACCTTACGCTATCCGTTTACATATGTCTCACATATGTATATATATATACAGAGTATATACCAAAGTGCGTATATGCACATACAGCTCGAAAATGAATGCTACATAAAAGTGCAGACTTCGGTACCACAAACTTGTTCTTGGGTTCAAGAAGACTCAGTGCAGCTTCATAAAGTTCTGCCCATAAAAACAAGCCCAGAGACCCATACAGGTTGGGGATGGGTACATGGATCACATCCAAGCTCACTTTCGTGTTGGCCGCCCCCAACCTGGGTTGGACCAAAAGGGTTTAGGGTTTAGGGTACTAGGCAGGGTTAAGGCTTAGGATTAAGAACTCCTTACACATGAGGGTACCCAAGGTCTAAATTTCAGTCATAAGGAAACGCGAGGATCCTAAAAAAACCTATGAAACCTGCCCACAACAGCCATAAACACCCCATCGAAACCTACAGAACATGTAGAATACCTATACAAAACCGGTACTACTGGAGGACCAAGCAACAAAGAGATTCGCAAGCATGGCGGCGTGCTGATTTTCTCAGCTGGCGCCTGCTGAGATGTGGAAGCCTTGATGAACTCTTGGAACTTCCTGGGTGGCTTTCTTTACCTGGACCCTAAGGAACCTACCTTTTTAGGGTTCCCTAATATGAGTTCTTTATATAAGTCCTTAAAAAGGTAGGTTACGTAGGGTTAAGGTAGTTACCTGGAGGGTCGGGGGACTTAGTAAGTAGCTATTTTGAAGACTTGTAAGTACCATAACCCCAATTAGGGTCCCCTTTAAGGCACTTATAAGTCTACTTAGAACCTGCTTACTAAGTCCCCCCGACCCTCCAAGTAAAGTTTAATCGGACTTGACGTGGTCTTGTAAGCCTTGCTGTGTTTTCTATATGGATTTCAGGAACTTCTTCAAGTTACCATCATACGGACATCTATATATATATATATGTATATATATATAAATATATATATATATATATATAATAGTGGGCTTCCTCCTTCTTTCTTCCGGCAGCTGAACTTCATTCAACAAGGCCAAGTCTCGTGATGGCCTCGGGCTCCAGAAACTTCTCGAAGCACTGGCCGTGCAAGTTGGTGCTGGTCATGAGGAGGTGCTTCCTGGGTTTCGGCTTTAGGGTTCAGGGTTCTTTTGTTTTAAAGTTAGGGTTTAGGGTTTAGGGTTTAGGGTTTAGGGTTTAGGGTTTAGGGTTTAGGGTTTAGGGTTTAGGGTTCAGGGTTTAGGGTTTAGGGTTTAGGGTTTAGGGTTTAGGGTTTAGGGTTTAGGGGAAAGTTAGGTTGACGGCCTTCTTTGTGCGTCTGCCCTGGGTTCTTTTACTCTTTTCCGCCTGCAGATACAGTTAGAATTCTGCTTCCTGGGTTTCGGGCTTCGGTTTTTTTTTGAGCTCCTTTTCTACAAAGCCCGAAGGTCTTCGAGAGGCGCGAACGCCAGGACAGCAAACCCGGGTTTCGGGTTTAGGGTTTAGGGTTGTTTGGTTTGGGGTTTAGGGTCTCGGGTTTAGGGCTTACTAGGTTGGCCCTTGAAGGCCTTTGGGAAGTCTTCGCGAATGGATCTTAAGCCCAATCATGTCCCAAAGGCTTACGTTCCGGACCGAGCTTCAGGCAGTCTGAGACGCTGTGGATTCGAAAGGTGCTATCAAGCAGCACCTCGCCATCACAAACTCCTCTGAGCATTCGCCGGAAGCTGAACATCAAAGATTCGGCATCGGAGCAATCAAAACGGGCACGAATGTTCGATCGCACGCAGTTCTCCTTGGTGAAGCACAACAAACAAGATATGCCATAACGCTCATACTAACCGCATGCCGCACGACATGTTGCTGTCCAGCAGAGAAACACTAATAAGAACCCCAAAAATCCTGAACCCTAAACCCTTGAACCCTAACCCTAAACCCTTAGGCCCTAAAAGACCCCAAACCTTAAACCCGACAGCCCTGCAACAGCAAACCCTAAGACCTTTCAGCCTGAGACCGCAATCTCCTCAAACTTGAACCCTCAAACCCTAAATCGGTCGGTAAGATTTGAGGGCACAATGGCAAAAAAACTGAGCACACACACACACACATACTAAACAAATACATATATATATATATATATATGTATATATATATATATAAGGACTAGCAGCGGAAAGCATTACTAACTATACCCTAAACCCTCAAAGCCTTAAACCCGGCCCTACACCCCCAAAACCCTAAACCCCCACACCCTCAGCCCCTCATATTCCTAAAGCCAAACCGCTAATGCAGGGGTCTTAGCAATTAAAATGGGGTTTGGGGGCCGATATTATACTATAGCTAGAAAATAAGGAACCCCCAAAAAAATATAACTAGAATAAGGAACCCCCAGAAACTATAACTAGAAGAAGGAACCCCCAGAAACTAGTATAGGTAATTATGAAGGCCCATAGGTTACATTCTGTCTGACACCCGGTCGCCAGAATCGCAGAGCCCACGAGAACCAGAGTAAGGACCACCAGATGCAGAAACCTGAGCTCCGGCTTGTGGGTGCTTTTGCTTCTTTCTTAATTTAGGGTTTAGGGTGCTTTTGATTTTGTTTTACTTTAGGGTTTAGGGTGCTTTTGCTTTTTTTTAATTTAGGGTTTAGGGTTTTCGGATTAGGATCTAGGGCTAGGGTTTGGGGTGTAGGGCTCAGGGCTTAGAGTTTAGGGAGTTGGGATTTAAGGCTTTTTGCGACCGCCAAGCGCCACCTATACTGCTGTTATACAAGGCGAACTGTCGTGCAAAGCGCGTAGGCGCTTCCGGGGTTTAGGGCTTTTGGGTTAAGGCTCGTTGAAAACTCGCAATTTGGAAACGAAAACTGGTTTAGGGTTTAGGAAAGTGTAGGGCTTAGAGAAGCATAACTCCCAGCATCCTAAACCGTAAACCCAGGTATTAGGTTTGAGAGTTTAGGGCTCGGGATACCAGAAAAGACGACCCTAAACCCGAGATCCTGTCAAAGACCTCTACCAAGGATTCTTTCACCCATACCAAAAGCCTTCAATATGGTAGCTCAGCTTAGCTTCTCTGTCAGGGTGGAAACACAGGGTAGGGGGGAGGGGGGTAGGGGGCCTTAAAACAGTCCCCTCCCCCCCTTCCCCCTACCCCCCTACCCCCCTTTACCAACCCTCAACCCTAAACCCTACCCCTCTAAGGGTCCCTATGAGTGTGGGTTCACGTTTTCTTTTGCCAGGTCCCAGAGACACGCTGTAGGCGGGATGACGTAGTCCTGACTGCCTAATCGGATCCAGGATACTTGGAAGCGGCCGAAGATAGCAAGTAGTGGTTAGGTTTAAGGCTTAGGGTTTTGGGTTTAGGGTTTAAGGTTTAGGGTTGCAAGTATTGTAGGAACCTGATTAAGAAACCTTGTGGCCTTTATTACGGTTCCTTTGACGGGGTCGGTAAGCGTTACTATACGGGATCTATAAGGATACTATAATACTTAGGGGCCTTACCAATCATAAAAAAGCTCTGTAGAGTTCTGCTGCGCCAATTTATAAGGGTCAGGGTCTCTGTAGGTGTAGGGTCTGAGGTTAGGGACGCAGGTGGGTTTTGGCGTTTGCGGGTTTAGGGTTTTGCGATTGAGAGTTCAGCATTTCGGGTTGAAGGTTTCAGGCAGGGGTGGTCCTAGAGACTCGAGTATTGCATGAGCGAAGGTCCCTTACTAAGCATTCCCTGCTATCATGCAAGTAGTGTCCCGAAATCGCAGGATTTGGGACTGGCACCTACCCTCAACCCCCAACCCTGTAAACCACCCTAAGCCCTCAACTGCTAACCGTTTAAGGCTGTCTCGCGCTGGGATTGAAATCCAAAAGCTTTGGCAAAGGCAGCGGGCTTTGGGCTTAAGGCTTCCAATGTCTCGGGCTCAGTAGGGCTTAGTGGTTTAGGGTTTGCGGTTCAAGCTTTAGGGCTTTAGGGTTTACTGCTTCAAGGGTTTAGGGGCTTAGGGGTTTGGGGTTCAGGGTTCGGGGGTTAGGATTCCCTAGGGGCGGTAGGAGAGGGTTCTGGGGCTTACAAGTTTGTGCATCTCGCCCGGATCGTCCACAGTGACTGCTTGCATAAACCTGTAAACCCCTAAATCTGTAAACCCCTAAACCCTAAACTCCTAAACCCTGAACCCCTAAACCCTGTATATACTCTGTCTGCTGAAAACAGAAACGAGCCAGTCGATCATTCTAAAATCTGTGGTTTCATGCCGTAAACCCTTAACCCTTCAGCTCGGCTGTTTAGGGTTCAGGGCTTAGGGTGTAGGGCTTAGGGTTTAGGGCGTAGGGTTCGGGGTTTAGGGTTCAGGGTTTAGGGTTTAGGCGGCTAAGGGGAGGTTTGGGATCAAGGTGGAATTTTAGGGATTGGGGCTTCAGGGTCTTTGGGTTTGGGGCAACCCCTATGCAGCCACATCGCCCGCAGAAGTCTGCCCAGATTTGCCCGAAGAATAGGAGCACCTCGAGAGACGCCGTTGGGATTTGTTCAGAAGCAAGCTTTGTGCTGAGGATTTTAGGGTTGGGGCCGTCGTGTTACACATGATATCGAGGGTTTAGAGATTTAGGACTGAGAGTTTTGGGTTTGGGGCGGGGAGCTTTGTATGTTGGTAGTGAGGATGACGATCGAGACTGCACGCTGCAAGGAGGCATACGATGTTGGTGGTGCTGATAATGGTGATAAAGATGGTGGTGATGACGATGATGCCGATGATGCCGACGGTATGCAGGTAATGTCGATGCAGATGACGATGATGATGATGGTGATGTCATCAAGGTCTCCGAGATGGCAAAAGGAGGGGGCTGCAAACTTTAGGCGCTAGATTCCTGAAGCCAGGATCACGACAGCATTTGCTTGAACCCACAGTGCGACAAACAAAAGGCAGATGGCTGATTCAGAAAGCCTGGCGTAACGAGCTATGATATACTCCGCAACCCTATTCTGATTATTACGACTCCTATGTTGGGGTGAAGCCGTTGGCTTGCCAGACCCTTTCAAGCTCTCACAGCCCCATGATCAGTGCACAACCATTAGTAGGGTTTCATGTTATAGTATTCCATGGTTCTACAAGATTGTGCCGGAGGGCTCGGAAAATTGATGTCTCTTGGCAGACCTTCATGCACAGTTCGGAAAATTGATGTCTCTTGGTAGACCTTCATGCAGACCACTGATTAACAACGACAGCCTTCATAAGTCAGGAATAGGTATACTTCTGGCATACTTATGTATATTCATGGTATACCTACGGTATACTTCTAGTATATTCTGGTATACTTGTAGTACAGTTAGTACACTTATGGTACATCCATACTACACTTACAGTATGCTTTCGTGCACAATCATGGTACATATACTGTAGCTTAAACTCGACGTTGAAGCCTCAATGTTTGCAGGCCAAGGGCTTGAAAACACATCTGGCCGTGTTTGTACTGTGTCAGGGCTTGGATTTCAACCGGATACTCTCACGCACCTGCCACGGAGCTGACTTCCTGGTGTCCATGACCACAGCGGCTATGGCAAACCGCTGCCCTGTCCTGGGAGGATCATGGCCTAAGCCTCCACCCTGCCCTTTATAGACCCAAAGTACCTAAGACTACGGGCCAGAAAGCGTGTTTTCAGAGCATCCTGGCATTCATGTTGTTAACAGCTGGTCCGTATGCGTATATCTACAGGCAGATTGGTAAACAGATAAACAGACAGGCGGGCCGACAGACAGGCAGAAAGATAGTTAGATAGATAGACAGATAGATAGTTCGGTAGATAGGTGGGTAAGAGGATAAATGGCTAAATAAACAGATAATTATGCATGTCGATGTGTGTAAGTATGTACAATTGATTGTATGTTGCAAGCAGCATGGAGGTCCTCTGACGGCTTTTGGCTTTAGGACTTCGGGTTTAGACCGACAGCATCAAAGCTTTCGGGCCGCCGAGCTTCGGTCATTGATGCTTTGGAGCTCTTGGGGTTTGGGTCGAGGGGGTCTGTTGGTCTAAGATTATGGGGTTCAATATACAGTGGTTCGAGTTCGCCGCCTTAAAAAGCATTCCCTGCATCATCAAGTCTGTCCGCACCTGCATGCATATGAGGCCTCAAGAAAGTAGAACAGAGTTCTAGGGTCATATAGGGGCCTCAATGATGAATATAGGGTTCGGGGCCCAGTATACCAGACTTGTAATAAGGAACCTCCAAAATAGCGTAGGTAATTGTTAAGGCCCCTATGGTACATGAATGAGTTGCTATTACCACTTCAGGAGTCGAACTTCAGTTGATCTATACAACCCCTTGCTTGGAATCTCGTCTTACATAGTAGGTCATGCTCGATGCATCCCTATAAAAGTCCATTAACTCTCTCCCCTGCGCGATTCAACTAACTCTACATGCCAAGTCGAGAACCCCCTATACAATCACAAAACCACGTACAATCTCGATAGTCCCTAAAGAACAAAACTTACCATCCACTATCGTGAAGGATGTCAATGGAGCGCCCTTGCTCCTGGAGCTACAGCTCCTGACAACTGAAGCCACCCTGAGTCCGACACCTAGCCTTTATCGTAGGGCGTACAGGGTTTCTCTAGAGGTTCCTGTCAGGGTTCTACGGTAAGCGATTTAGGGCCATGGCTAGGGGTCTAAGGCTTTAACAATTGGGTGGTTGTCAACATTAGGGTCCCTTCTTGCGTACCCTAAATATTAGGTGCCGTATTATAATTGGGACCCAAAAAAGGACCCTAATATTGACAACCACCCAATTAGAATAAGCTTTTGGCGTGTTTGCGTCCGCATTGCACTTTCTAGGGACTATAAGGGATACCAGACTTAGGAGTCTAGGGTTAAGGCGGTTAAGGGTTCGGGGTTGGGTGGACCGTCTAAGGTTTAGGCTTTAGGGTTTAGGGTTCAGGGTTTAGGGTTTAGGGTTTAGTGCGTCAGGTTGTGATTAAGCTCTGCGCTTGCAAGATGCAGCTGTACATTGATGACACCACCATCCATGTGCGCCCCATCGATGGAGGGCAATGCAAGATAGACCACCATTAAAAGTCCTCCGTGTTGTTCAGGGTGAGGGATGCAAGAAATAGAGCACATCAACATCAGATGGAACCTCGTGACATTACCTTACAAAGTAATCACTGAAGCGCTACACCCAAACAGACTACGACTTAGAAACGATAAACATTGAAACCAAACTTCGGAAAACCCTCGGCCCTAAAGCCCTAAAGCCACGACCCTAAACACTTATCATGCGACGATTTTAGTCCCTGGGTCCATACATCAGGGAGCAGCACCAATCCACTCGCTGCGTCGTAACATGGACCGAGCGCGTGGCAATGGCCATGAATTGCAGATACAGAATGAAAGTCGCCATAAAGACAACTGCCTCCTTCAAGGGTTGCGGGGTTCGGGTTTAGGACTTCAACACGAGAATAATGACACTAAGATTCCTAACAGTAGCAATAATCATACCAACCTTACTCCCTAAACTCTGAACCCCCAAACCCTAAACGCCAAATCCTAGTAATTGTGACCATGGTCATTTAGGGCTCCGAGGCATGGGTGAGGTGGGAAGACCCGAGGTGGCAAACCTCTAAAGCTGACCGCTACCATGGGGGCCTTAGGAATTAGAATGAAGTTTTGGAGCGCAGTCAACTAGAATCGCAATAAGGAACCAGTTAAGCCCCTACAGTACCCCGGAACGAAAAGATGCCTCTCTAGGGTTTAGGATTTATTGCTTAGGCTTTTGAAACACATCAAGAGCCTTGGGTTAGGGTTTAGGATTTAGGGTTTAGCATTGGGGCTTAGGGTTTGTAGCTACGTAAGGTTCAGGGGACCTGGGCCAAGTTCAAACTCAAGACCCTGAGCCTGAGAATCTACTAAAAGCACTCCACAACCTCATAATGTAGGGGTCTGTTTTAAGAATAGGGTTTTGGGGCCCATTATACTATAACAATAATTAAGGAACCCCACCCCAACCCCTCCTGCAGGCATGGGTTGAGGTAGAAAGAGCGGGCCCAGTATGATATTCCTCCAGCTTGGCAGAAGACCACCACTCGCGTAAAGAGGAAGAAGCCATGCTTCCGCGATTCTGACATGGCACTTTCCAACCTCTGCTTGTCTTTGCGGCCCAGATTTTTTTTAGGTTTAATTTAAGGGTTTGGGTTTCGTTTAGGGTTCAGGGTTTTGGGGATTGGCTGCAGGGTTTAAGGTTAAGGATTCACTTTATGGGCTTTCCAAAACAAAGGCGGGGTTTGGGTAGATCCCAATAACTGTACGCATAGGGAGTATACGAGGACGCTATATAACCATTTTTTCCGACCTGCAAACTACATAGGATACCTTAACTACTATTTGCTTAAGAACCCCCCAAAAAATAAAAATAAAAATCCCTATATTACCCCATAAGGAATATTTATGTTCATTTTTTGGAGGGTTCTTAAGCAAATAGTAGTTAACATGATACTTCAAGCAGGGCCCAGGAACCGCTCTTCCCATGGATCCTCCGCAGGTGAGGGCTTGGACTTTTTTGAAGCTGAGTATTGAAGGGCGACGGTTTAGGGTTTAGGGTGTGGGGTTTAGGGTTGAGGGTTCAGGGTTTAGGGTTTAGGGTTTAGGGTTCAGGTTTTAGGGTTTAGGGTTTAGGGTTCAGGATTTAGGGCTCAGGGTTTGGGGGCAAAGGGTTTTCGGAGTTGCTGGCTGACATTCTTGCAGGGTCTGCGGTGCTCGCTCCTTTGACTCGGGAAACCACCAAACCTGAAAAAATTCTCAACAGCAGCATGGTGGATTCTGGCCCCGACCAGGCCAGCCGAGTGGCGCCTAAACCCAAATTGTGAAGGCTCCTAAATTAAGCTTATGGCTTCCACTGCCTGCTTCGAAGACCACCTCTCCGAGAGCCACCCAACGAAGGTGGTCACATCTTGTCCGGCCAGGGTGAAGTGGATCCTTGGTAAAGTCTCATTTTAAGGGTTTAGTGTTTAGGATCCTTGGTAAAGTGTCGTTTTAAGGGTTTAGTGTTTAGGATCCTTGATAAAGCGTCTTTCAAGGGTCTAAGGATGTTTGGAGTTGTTTCAACTCAGGATCCCTGTAGAAGGCCCAGACCGCTACGAGGATCCAAAAAGTAGATCACCTAATTGTGTTTAGGGTTTAAAAGAGTTAGGGTTTAGGGTTTAGGACACGATACAGGGTACTTTCGAGGACATTCTGCTAAGGGAGCTGAGGCTCACGAACTATGCTTTTGTGCTTCTGGTCTGTGGGGTGGTTCTTCAAAGGACTGGTTGCACTACAAGGACTTTTGGAGTGTTTTCTGGGGCTTTGGCTGCGGAGGGCTGCCTAACCAGAAGTCCCCTACCTTAGCCTACCAAACCCTACTTTTTGTAGGTTCTTATGATAAAACTTCCCTAATATGGAGTTAATAGGGACCCTACAAAAAAGTAGGGTTTGGTAACCTCAAAGCACCGAGCCTTGCATGGAAAGTACGGTGGGGCCCTCCCTTTCGAAAGTTCTTGAATACCTCAGAAGCCCTAAACCCTAAACCCTAAACCCTAAACCCTAAACCCTAAACCCCTAAACCCTAAACCCCTAAACCTGGAACCACTTTGGGCTTCGACGGCCCTGTAAAGTTTTCAAACGTTAAAAAACCACGCCCTAAACCCACAGCATTCGCAGTGAGTTATTCGATCATAGGGTTTAGGGCTTAGGGCTTAGGGTTTAGGGTGTAGGGTTTAGGGTTTAGGGTTTAGGGTTTTGAAGCAGGAACTGGATTAGTGAGTGTCCAACCACACAAACGAGCACACTTTTTGGTCTGAGCCCAAGACGTCTGTCGTACAGGGTGCGTTCAGAACTAACACAAAAACTACGCTCGCATGAGGACATGTCAACACGGCGCTTCAAGACAGGGAAATTTCACACCCGTCTTATCTGTAGTGTGACGTCCGAATCATGCTCGAATTTGATCGCTTTGGACCAAACCTACTTCACCGGATTATACCGGGAGCTTGCGCAGTCAACCGAGCCGAGTGCGGCGACTCAAGGCTCTAGGCTGAGTTCTTCAATCGCGAAGCGGAGTGCTTTCGGTACTCTCGGTATTCTGTGCGGCTTGCGCGGGCACATCGAGTACCTGTACGAGGTTGCGATCAATGCTGTGATTGATCAAAAGCGGTTTCATACTCTTAGTGAGGCAATCCGCAAGTTGTAAATGCGTCGGTATCCATCTCAACTCATCGCCACAGGGATGGTACAGGACGTGCGTTAGTTCGTCCTCTTCCCAAAGTCCTTGGCGAAGTCCGGACATCTCAATGGCAAGGCGTTTATCCTCGCAGGACTTTGGAATCGACGCTGTCAAGTGATCCGAAAGGGACCTGCAGTCCGTATACTGCAGGTGGAACATCGATCTCTTGGCGACTTCTTCCCAGTTCTGTGACCGGGGCAGTTTGCCGAGTACTTCGAGTACTGCTGCTCGAATACGGTCTCCATGCTCTATGGCATGTTGCAACGAGTAAGCCTCACACTGCAGTGTGGCGCGACAAACCCGTTTCATGGTGGACGAGGAGAACGAAATGAGGTGCATCTCATGCGTTGGCGCGTTCTTGTCCACCGCCGACTGTGCGGAAGTGAGATAGTGGAAACGGCCTCTCTGCGACTTATGGTTCGCCTCTCCTGCAAAGGAGGCGTCGCAAAACGTGACGACCGCCAGCTCCCCTGTATTCCAGGGTAACTTAGCGCTGTACGTGATCGGCCTATCCGCATCTCCTAACGCCAGTGCTACTACGCGGTTTGCTTCACGGAGCGTATCCACCGTGGCTGTCGTAACACGCTGCTGCAGGGCATTCACCCTATAGGCAAGATCAGGTCTCGTGGCGCGGGCCACCCAAGCCAGCGATCCTATGACGGATCTCAGCGCTGTGCGCTGGCCATTCGAGACTGGAGTCGTGCCCTTTTCAGATTTATGTATATCGATCGGGCGAATTGCACGCGTGTTGTCCCTACAGTTTATACTGATGGTCCCATCGGCGCTTTGCACATACTCGCGTCCGCAGAAACGGAACTTCTCAGTCTCTATGCGACCGATCTTAAACTTATCCAGCAGATTCTGGATAGCCGGCTCGCCTTCGGCGGTAGCAGCCCACAGGAAATCATCCACGTGGGTGCACAAGCAAGCGCACAAACGACCACCTTCTCCTGTAATATAGTACAGGGCTGACAGAATTTGCGAGGCATTTAAGCCAAATTCTCGGCAACTCTCCTTTATACGGAGGTAAAGGTTCCGACCCGCGTCGGTGGTGCCGTACACGGGTACTCGGGCAATCATATACCCGGCTCGCTGAATCTCTGCATCGGGCACACCCTTAGGGTGTTTGGGAACCCGAAGAATGAGGAGGCGCTCAAGGGGTTTCCCTTGGAAGTATGCGTTCGTTATATCGGCTGCTTTGAGCCGCAGGGCCAACGAAACCGCCCATGAACACAGAAGGGCTATACCTTCCGGCTCGGCCGTGGGGCTGTCTGCCCTGATATCCTCCTCATTCGAGATATGCTCGAAGTTTCCACATGCGACCAAGCGTGCTTTCCACTTGGGAGTGTATGCTGCTGTCCCCTTTAGGTGTTCATTCTTATCGGTAAGAACCCATTTGGTGGGGATACACACGTGGCCAGCCTTTGTAAGCTCCTTAAACTCCTTGTCTGTGCAAGGGACCACTGCGTTGAATTCAGTGTACTTCTGCCATTCAGTCTTCATGGCAGCATCCAGCCCCAGCTGTACCTCTACAGGGGCCTTATGGTAATCCAGGAGCGAGGCCATGTAGCCAACATCGACATTAGAGCCGAAGGCGTCTTCCCCATCAGGGGTGAGAGCGAAGGCCTTGGATTCCGCCTCTCGACTATCCGAGGGCTCAACTGCTGGCACTGTCGTGCCAATCGCAGCTGTGTGCGATGCTGCTGCCAGTCCGTCGTCTTCCTCAGGAATGTAGTGACACGGATGGGCTTCTGGCAGTCCGTTAGCACGTATGTGCTCCGCAAGTTTCGAATGCTCGAGCCATATGTGCTGGGCGATATTTCGCCGATGGCATCGCCGCCAACTGGCCTCCGAACACAACAGAAGTATTCGGTGAAAGTCATCGTGAGCCTCGCTAACTATTCTAGCGATCGCACAGAGCCCTTGGTCTGTTTGCAGGTTGGCTTCAATCCCGCCCCGATTCCTGTTGCCTAACTCGGGGGCGTGACTGTACACAACCCCTTTTGCAAAGCATGTGGCAGAAAGCTCATCACAATTGTATTGTGGATGCCGAACGCTGTACGGGTGGCTTCTGCAATCTACGATTTCCTTAATCCCGTACTCGTGGATGCGCTCTAGGAACGTCTCGATGGGAAGATCAGAGTGACCCATGGTGTATATCCCATCGCCTTTCCTGCCAAAGGTGTTGGGCGCATCCCTATATATGGGGTAGCCTAGATCCGACAAAAGCTGTATGTCATCTTTAGACAACTTACCGAGGTCACTCACCGTGTATGCGGAGAGACTGTATCTTTCTCCTACAAACGGTGCGACCATGTGCACGTCCTTCGGGCGAAACTTAAGAACCTTGTTCTTAGTATCATGGACGGTGCCATACATTGTCGTGTTTTGAATACGCACGGGAGTTGTACCCGTGGCTTCTTCCACCCATAGGCCGCCTCCACGATACTCGCCCACACCTATAGTGTAGTTATACGAGCCAGGAGTGTTCGCTAGGTCTCTATGGGCCTCTGCGCCTCTGTTGGTAAGCTGAACGCTACTCCACTGTGGAAGATGGTGACCGGCTTGCATACTGTGATGCAAGAGGTAGTGGTTGAGGTACATGGCGAACGACGGTCTCTCGCGCGTTGGTCCAGAGACACCAACAAGACCACCGTGCCGATATACTCCCACCGCGAGGGCTATGCTCCCGGGATCTCCATCATCTAGGAGCGGGCGCGTGTACGCCTCGCGTCGGTCGCGGTCATAAGCGCGAAGGAGGGCCAGACACTCATCTGGAGAAAAACCCTGAGCATCTATCAGGCCTTTTGCCATGATCTCTACTTGATCAATCTCTTCCGCAACTAGTGCGTCATCACGGCCTCCTACTGGCGATCGCGACCGGGCGGTTTCGCCCGTCTTATCTTTGGCGCGAAACCTTGCAGGGGTAGATGGCGCTGGCATCGGTGTGCCGGGCATCATCGCTGGCGTCGATGGTGCTGGCATAGGCACATCGTGCGCGACTGCCGGTGTAAGCGGGGCAGCTGCAGCCACTGGACGTGGCGTCGCTGGTGCTGTGACCGGATCCGCTACGCGCTCATCCTGGAACCTTTGTTCCGGCCCATGTACGATGGCTTCCGGAAGCACTGGTTCACCTGCCAAAACGCGGTGCGCTGCAACTTCGATTTCATCAGCTGGGCGCATCTTCCTAGCGTTCACAAGTACAGGGATATTCTCGTGTAATACCCAGTACGCATTCTCTGCCTCACGTCCTATGACGCGGCTAACCGTGGACCATACGACTCCTGGGCTGCCAGGGACGTTGTCCCGACGGTAGATAACTAAATCACCAACCTTATAATCAGTGTCTAGAGCGCTGTAACGCTTTGGCCACCTTGCGGGAAGTCTCTAAATGAACAAAGGCCTTTTTGGCTTCCTGCCGTGCTCTGTGCCGAATGTAGTATACACTCGTCTCATCATACTTGGTGAACAATGTACCAAGACTTTCGGATTCATCTAGCACGGAACCCGGTGTTCGAGGCTGCTTTCCCAACACGTGTTGTGCTGGGCTAAACCCTTGGTGCCTACTAAGCTCGTTCTTAGTAGTAACGCTCTCGGTAACGACCGCCTCCATCTCCTCGATATTCGAGGGCTGAGTCTCCTGCGCGACTTTTCTAATGATGGCCTTAGCAAGTCCACCATGGCGTTCGACCTTTCCAATAGTCTGCGGACTCTC